CCCCCTTCCCCCCCCCCCCCGCTACCCCATCCCGTAGCAAAATCCTGGATCCACCTGTAAGTGGTGGTGTAAAGTGAAATTATTATAATAATCTAAATAACAAAAACACATACATACAGTACTAGTAATAGCATTAAGCCAGGGTATCTGCTGGGAACCAGCCAAGGAGCAGATGCCAAATGAGGCTTTTATAGAGCAATTTTAACACAATGAGCAGAGCATAATTACTGAGATATATATTTCACAACAGCACAGACAAATAGAGCTTTGACATGAAAGGCAGTGATATACATGTATGGATTTATAATCTCCAACAAGGATGTCATATTTTGGTTTTTAAAAATGTTGTCTTTTTATCCTTGTATAATTAAAAGAAAAGTGATCAATATCTGCAACTACCTAAAGATATTCCAACCAGTTCTCCTTTTTTTTTTTTATAATTTTCAGAAAATTATAAATAAAGATTATCAATGCATTAATACCAGTAAGTGCATTGTACTTGTTCAACAACTTTCAAACTCAAAATGTCATTAATGTTTTCTTAGTACATGATGTGTATACATTGCTTAAAAAAATGCATCCAAGACCCCATTCCCAGAGATTAGATCGATCCAATCTAGATCGACCTAACTCCCTGGGGGTTCACACTAAATAGCTGTCAGTCGAGCGGGCGCGCGAAAGTTAATTACCCCCTTACAGCTTGTAGTAGGTGGGACGGACATTTAAGCCGGATTATCTGACAGTAATCTAGTGAGACTCCCCGTGGGGATAGATCGATCGTAAATCTATGGGAATACGCCCCAAGTGTATCAGTGCATTCCAACTCCCACCTCCTCAGTTTTGACATCAGGGCTCACACACAAACAAACAAACTGACACACAATATTTCTATGTAAACCCAACACTACAATACTTCATACATTTTTTCATGACTTGGATGAACACAGACAATCTATTCCTACAAAATAAACCTGTTAATAATACAATACACTCCGAAGAAAATCATGACATGATTATCTGTCATTACTATATGACACCCGCAACTTTCACCTAAAATATTCCACAACAGTGCATCATCGGTATATCTATTCCTCATCAGTCACACTGCATGGCACTTTACGACAGATATACAAAGTACAAGTTCACAATAATTTGACTTTGGGATGCCACGACTAAGTCTTATTATAGTCTGAATGTTAACCACTGGCCCGACTGCAAATGCCAGTAAAAAAATCGAACTAGGCCAGTCAAATTTTCTGAAGAACAGTCCATTATGTATAACTGGCCTGACTGGGGCAGTAGAGTTTTTCAGCTGTAACATGTACCCCAATTCCTTACATAATGTTCAGGCTAAATGTTGAAGTCTTTTTTAATTTTTTTTTTTTTTGAAAACCCCTTGTTTTTGTTCTTATTAGTAATAAGAAACCTGTTTAATTTCAATATGTTAATTTAAGTGATTAAAAAAAAATGGACATGGGCCAGCAAATTTTGGTTTGGATCAGTAGATTCTCAGATCCTGATGGTTAGACATCCTGCAAGTTGCAAGTATTTGGCCCATACTAATATTAGGACCTTACCCCAGTAAGTACACGTAAGAGCTTCCCGTCCAGCAACCCCCCCCTCCTCCTTTGACTGAATAATGCTTGATTAGCCACATTTAACAACCAATTGTGTGCACCAAAATGTCACGCCTGTCAAAATCTCACATCTCACCATTAAATCAGTAACACCAAATTAGAATGAATTCTAAAACCCTTCTGTGATTTTAAACATTTGAATCCCTAACAGAAGCTAAGAATCCATTCATGTATGTTTATTTTCCTTTTAAAATTGCCTTAAACATTTCTAAGGATAACTTTAATGTCACTTCTTGCAGATCATGTAATAAATTTTGTGAAACAAATTGCACCCAACTGTCACGTTTTTCAGCGCTTAAAACCCTGGATTTTTTTTTACAGCCACTTAAACTGCATTCCAATAACAAGGCGCACATCCAGTAACACATAACTTTTAAAATAAACAGTGTCACATTGAATTCTCCAATCAACCGGCTGAAGTAGAGTACCACATGTATCTCAGAGCACAAGTTTCTTTTTTAATTTGAACCTGATCCCAACATTACAATGTAAGAGTAGCAACAAAAAAACAAAATGTAAAATAATAACTTGAAGCAATTATAAACTTTAGAGGAGGAATTGCAAATAATTACATCAACTTGAGAGTTGGGTGTCCTCTAGGGCCAAAGGGCTCCAAATATTGTTTGTACAGTAAAATTAATTGCTTTTTTGTTTTCTTTGCTTTCTGCTAGGGACTAGAAAGAAAGAAGCATACCAAGTGTTGGCAAAACTGATCGAGCTTCTCCTTTTAACCCTAAAGGAAATGGTATAAGGAAATGACAAGCATTTAGAGTTTTCTTTTCATTAAAGATGACTTAAAGCACATTTTGTGCTAATCCAATTTAGCCACCTTTGGACCAATCAAAATTCCATATCTAAATGCAATATTTACATTGTCAGAAATACTTCTATCTAGTGACACTGGTCAACTCACCAATGGTTCCACTTTAAATCTAGCAACCAAAATATCCCAAAGCCTTAATTTTGACAAACTTCTAACAAGCTTAGCTATTTCAAGTACCATAAAAACCATTACATTAATTTTGTGTAGAAATTTAAACCACTACTTGTTTTACAAACAAAAAAAAATTTAAGAGGAAGCTCATGTTTTATTCAACAAACATTTTGTTGTTCTGGTACACCAATAAATTTATAGTGTACCCCACTTTTTACATGCAATGCTTCACACCAAAACACAAGTTTCCTGGCTCATTTTCCCTATAGTAATGTAATAAAGAAAAATCAGTACTTAGTCTAATAAGGAGTCTTAGGGACATTATCACATTATGTCTCTTTTTCTGTTGGTTATTGTCAAAAAAAAATCTTTATTTTTGACCTAGCCAGTCCGTAGATCATTCAGTGCCTTTTTTAACCTGGTCGTCACCTAGTTAACATCCAGTTCTAAATGGCTCCAGGCTCAAAAAGGTACGTTAAGTTGACCCCCAAAACTTGACCTCAGTTCAGTAAATCACATCTGAGACTGCAGTGTCACTTTACATTTAAAAACACAGTGGGTACCCTGTGGCACATATTAAAACATGCATGTTCTCTTTACGATGTATTTTTCATTTAAGAAAAAAAAAAATGTCTGCTGAATAATGTTAAAATCAGGACCAGGCGTAACACATGGGTTTAATACTAATAAGAGGATTCGCGTGTTTACCTGCACCTCTGCCAAGGAAATACGTTCTTTACTCACTTTGACCTTAATACAGCCAGGTCACAAATAGCAAAAAACATAACTGTCAAAATAATAAAAAACTGGGATGATGGCATTATTTCTGTCCCAAAATCTAGATCCACACACCTAAAAATCCAACTGTATCAAAATTCCAGTCAACTATATGCAACAAGTTGTTAAACAAAGTGCAGTATTTAAATATATTCACTGTCTTCCCCATCATCTTAATCAAATGACAAAAAGTTTAAATGGGAACACGTGGATCCTGGATGCATCCTGGATGCGAGTGTTAGAATGCCTATTATAAAGTAATTACATACAAAACGTACTTCCATGTTTAGCAAGACAACCACTATCAGTAGAGACCATACATACTTCATGCAGCTGAGAGCCCAAATATTTATCTGCATAGTTATCAATAAAACATCTGATAAAAAATAATGGTTCAAGTCACGCTATCTGAGTTTGTATATTGCTCTAAATAAAAAATATATAGTATATACATTCAGTTATGTGAGTAACATAAAGTTGGTTCATGCTTTTTCGACCATGTGTGACTTAAGTCTGAAAAACTTTACAGTTGTTACCCTGTTTCTACTGCTTCACATGGTATCTCATAACTAAGGGTGAATGGATACATTTTAAAAACCAAACTTTTCTGTAAGAAATATAAAAGTTTGCTGTCAGAATCCAATTTTGAATATTAAATAAAATAATAATAATAAAATGTTTGTTAAAAAATAGACAACACTCTGAGAAAACAGACATCAAATCATTTTGAAATTTTAAAAAATCTTTAAAGATATTTTAAGATCCAAGTCAGTCAAAATTGCAACTAGTTCTATATCATTGAATGAACAACTATATATCTATCCTGAATATTTGAATGAAACTAAAATCTTTAGGAGATATCTTGTCCTAACAAAAAAAAAAGGAACAAAGAAAAAAAATCAGTTGGAAACAACCCCACTCGTTGTCACATTTAATAAAAAATAAAAAAGCCCTCCATTGCAAAAGCCTAAATGACTGTAAATCTTAAAGCTCAAATTTACTGTCCTCTTTGTGAAAGTATCAGCTTACTCTACCTTCAACCTGTTTATTTCAAATCATGTCACCCTCCACATGGTGACATTATCCTCTTTACGGGACCACAAGCTTTTCAACGACAGTCAAAAGCCATTGAACTTGGCACAGGCCGTGGCAAACAGGTGATACTACATCGTAACTTCCCAGCAGTAGTGAGTGCAGGCCTGTTGCCATCAATTGCAAAAGGGGGGGGTTCTTTTTCTGAAAATGTGGACCTTTTATCATGATACCTTAGTTTACCTTGTATACATCAAATTTACCCAGAGTGGACCTTTTCCCTCCCAAACCTCACCTGGCTACAAGCCTGAAGCGTCTACAGCATCATTTCTTTGCAGGAAACTCGACTGAACAAGCTTACTTGATTTAACGATTATCTCTTCATATGCAAAGTATAATAATTTAATTTGTATATCAACTTACAAACACCTTTTCTTGATCACCACCGGGAAGTGTAAAGAATTTAGACTATTTAAACTGGCAGTAACTGACATACGTGAACTGACTAACAATAAACTGGCAACATTCATATTTCACTGAATTAAAATTATCATTCAATGATCACACACACACACAAAATCATTTCAAAATACCAAAAACAAAACCCTGATCAAACTTACCTTCAAATTTGCACGGTTATCCAGTTAATGTGTAACTTTTAAGTGCTATCGACTGTGGAGCTGGCCGTGGACCGTGTCATAACACATACACACACACAGCGTGTACTGTCTTCTCTGTTAGTGAGCGGTCACGGTGTGTTCCTCACACATCTTGGGGAAGGACTGAAGAGAAAAATCAGGAAATGAAACATTAGTGGTAATTTCCTGTCGGGGAAATTGGTCCAAAACCGTTCCCTGATTAACGTTGGTTAATTAAACTCGTACAACGGACAAACATGTTCATAGCAATACAGAAACATTTATCACCGAAGGCAACATTTTAAGTTAACTCTCAACAGGGGAACTGCAGGGGGGGGGGGGGGGCTTGGGGGAATATTTCTTATTTTACTGCCTGTCCTATTTAAATGCTACTAGTAATGATTAACAATATTGGCTGATTACACTCTTACAAAGGAAAACCCTGTTCACAGCAATACAGCAACACATTTCNCCAACGCAGTTTGGTTGGGTAATCGTTGGACTGATGTTGGTTATTAGTAGGACCAACGTAAATGCACTGTTGGTTACAGGTTGGGTAATTGTTGGAGCAATGTTGGTTATTAGTTGGCCCAATGTAGGGCCAACGCAGTTTGGTTGGGAATACGTTGGCAATGCGTTGGCATTAAAAAGACGTTCAGCCAACCGTTGGCCAAAGTGAGCACTTAGATGGAAACCCAACGTTGGGCCAACGTTGCATGGTCAACCAAGGCAACGTTGGGCCAACGTTGGCCCAACGTATGCATGCTATCTGGGTTGTTGCTTAAATAGGACAGATGCACTGGCAGATGGCTCCAGGCTGTCTTCTGGGTTTTCTGGAAGGTGGTCAGAGTTTTGAAGTTTGCATTGACAAGCATGCATTTTTTCTATTGGAAGACAGTCATAAATGGAGGACAGATCAACGAAGATAATTTGGAAAAGTGTCAGAAAATATCTCTAGATCCAACCCTGAGATAGGAAAAAAAAGATTTAAGTCAAACAAGGGTCAAAAATATTACACTTTTATCATGGTCACTACCTCAGCTGACATTACGGATTAGGGGATTTAGAGGGATAAACACAGCAACAGGTGAAGAGATTGTTACCTGCAACTGTTTACACTGGTTAAATGGTGTCAACAAACTGCGCTCCAGGATCACTTAATTTTGTGGTGATAAAGACCGTGTATACTAACAGAGAAAACAAACCAACCGCACTTAACATCACGTCCATACATATGAAAATATTTCAGTTTAGGTTGATCATTTTAGCAATAAAACAAACTGGGATATATATCTGCAGTTTATACCACTGGTTAAGAATACAGGTGCAGTACCTGCTAGTCTTAAATACATTCTGGTTATAAAAAAGATATATAAAACTTGTTATTTGTTCAGACTACTACTGTACGTTTTATCTCTAGTAAAATCTCTAGTAAAATCAAACTTAAATTCTAGTCTCAATGTTTAGAGTCATTTTCAGGCTAGAAGTCATTTGTAAATCTGCTCTCTGTTATTGATGCTTGACTGCAACCTCAAGTATGACTGCAACCTCAAGTATGATATTTTTATTTATTTTTCCTCCAGTTCTAACATCAAATAGTTTAAACTCTGACTTAACTCATTTAACCAAAATTCTTTTAAAACAAAAATGAGGAAATGAAGAAATCCTGCCCTGTTTTCAGACTTAAAGCCAAAAAAACAAACAGAACTATAAAACACTAATCATACAAAAAAAGCTGGGCTGAAGCCAACTTGCAGCTTTTTTGTAGGTTCTCTTAAGTTTCTCCAGCAACTAATTAAATCTTTGTCATTTTAAGTGGAACAGAGTAATCTTCAGTAAATTAAATCTAGGGTTAATTGTTAACTCGTTGGCTGGGGACTTTGGATGTGTTTCCAGTCATTATGAATGCTCTCACTTTGTACATATTACACGTATCAGAGAGGGTGTGTAGTAAAATATATTTCTTAATTATCATTATTACTACTATTCTCATTAAATGTCAAATGCACAACTTAATTACAGTGGTAATAGGTGGTACAACAAACTAAAGGGATCATGTTGGTTTCCTCTTGTGTGCTAGTCATAATGATACAGGTTGGTTACAGTGGTGGTACAGCAGAGAGATAAGATTGGTTTTATGTGATGAGCTAATTCTAATGGTACAGGTCGCTTACAGTGGTGGTGGGTGGTACAACTGGATTAGATTGGCTTCTTGTGATGAACTAATCCTAATGACATAGGCTGATTTCTAGTACAGTGGTACATGTAATGGGTGGTGCAGCAGAGAGATTAGATTGGCTTCCAGCTACTCCACGCCAGGAATATTTTAATCTGGGCCCCGTAACTCAAAAGCATCGTGCATTGCGACCGAGAGCAGGCACCTCAATTCCATAACTCGCCCCATATAATATATTATCATAACCTCTATGTGATATCGCAATTCACGATGCACGATGCTTTCGTGGTACGGGGCCCTGATTGCATTCAGAAAGAGTCCCAATGGAATTGGATGGATCTATGTAGAACAATGGTTTCAATTAAAAAGCAATACAGAAGTGACATGCGAAACAGGCCTAGGGTGAATTCATGGTGTTGTATACTAGACCCTTATTTGACCGAACTTATGAGAAAACAACCAGATAAATATCAGTGGATAAAAATAAATTATGTCAGTTTTTATTTGTTACTGCACCACACTCTTTTTTTTAGTTGTCTCCCAAATCCTGTAAAATCTTGCTTATTTTTTATGAAAAGTCACAAGATTTTACTCAGGGGCGTAACCAGGCATACGCACGGATGCACTGTGCGTACAATTTTTTGAGCCAACCATGATATTATTCTCCATAAATTCAGTGTATTTTTCACGGAATATAATCATACCTGGGAATTTTAAAAGGTCTGGTTATGCCCCTGTTACTGGCTTTCTCCAATGATTCCTTTTCTATCCTCAAATGATCTTAAACACGCTCACTATTTTTCTTAGCTTTGATTTCATTCATTATGGCAAATTATGAGGAGATGGCCTCAGGAGATGTTTGATGCAGCGTACAGAATAAGAGTGCACTCTTACAGACTCCACATTTAATGCACTTTTAAAGCTATTTCTTGCACAATTTATTGCATTATAATCAAAGCGTGATATCCTAATAACTTCACTTATTTCCCAAAACAAACAACAGTAACACACACATACACACACACATACACACTAACAAGAGGGAGAAGCATTTGTTTTCACACTTGAAATGTATTCCTCAAATCAGTTGCTCGAATCATCCCAGAGCCAAGTCTTAATGGATCAATTTACAATTAAGCCGTTATTAACTGATGCTTTTTAATACTGGACATACCAAGAGAAAGACGACTGGTGATCCATCATTCAAATACACATCCCTCAGCAAATACATGTACTGTACATGTAAGGCCGAGATGAAAAATTCCTCCCTTTTTGTGGTCAGTTCTCAAGACGTCCACCGTGGATGAAAATAATCAGCCATCAGGCTGATCACCACTGATTAAATGCTAAGCTTTAATTCACATATCTCAAATGAGTTCTTCATGAACTGTACTGATAATTTTACTAATTAATAACTAATTAAATACTGAGATTAAAAAGAGGAAGAAAAACATTCACCATTTCACCCATACTTCACAAGAAAGGCACACAAGGGAAAAAAAGAAACCAATTGAAAGTGAAAATTTCTCCATGATTAAATGGTATTGGATTCTATTACAGTTCACTTCGATCATTAGTTATTAGGTTACGTCTTTTCCCCTGACAGATATTTCCATAATCTAGATGCCACGGCAGGAGTGTGGATATTAAGATGCATATTCCATAAACACTTCTGCACTCCCTAAAGCTAAAGGCCTGACATCAGAATTAAAAAAAAAAAACAAAAAAAAAAAAACATCCTTACTTAAGCTGTGATCTCTCGAATGCAACTCCCAGATCAATTTTTACAAAAAAAAAAAAGTTATAGACTCAACTAGAGAGAGCAACTGGATTGTAATCTACTTTATTCTTGCCAATTGCTTTTTTCTCTGACTGCTCATCTAAGAGACTATAGCCAGATCTATAATTAAACAGTAGATGCACAGTGTCAACTTTTTTAACCTTTGCATCATCTTTAAATTTGACAAATGAAATTGTTTATTCATTAGCCCAAAATTGTATTTACAAGAACTGGACAAGCTTCAAAATAAATGCCTGACTTCTACAAAATGTCAGCAACATAACCTTAGACAAAACAGTTAAATTAACAAATTTAAAAAAAAATCAATACTTTTAAGGATTAAAATCTAAATATAATTGATAATCATCTGAGTATATTGTCTCACAGTTAACTGTAAACCAAATCATGCAAAAAAAAAAAAAAAACCAGCAATATCATGGGGTAAAGTGCTGTCAAGAAATATAAAAACCCTCAAGTTAAAATACACATGCTACTTGTTACTTGAGGGTGCCTAAATTTAATACAACTGCTTTAAACTCAAATAACCTGATTTTCTTTTAGGGAACATGAGAAAAACCAGCTCAAGCATGTGTTCTAAAGCTGCAGCCCTTGTAATAGTCCTCATTTCTTCTTAGAGAGTAAAATTTGCATTTTTCTGGCAATTGTCAAGTGTCCATGCATACATGAATGCACGTGTGTCCCAATAAAAGTTGCCTTTTATGATTTTCCATGCTGTGAAATAAATTGATCCAAAGCATCTCAGCACAGTGAATTTGTGCATGTAGCAAATTTTGACCTTGGAAGCAAATAAACTCAACTCTCATGTGAGATAAACAGAGGCATAAACCATCCATTTGGATATAAACTTAATGTTGAAAATCCTTTTAGTCTCCCCTGGGGTGAGTGTGAGACTGTGATAAGACACTACACGATAATTTTCCCAGCTTCTAGTATTGTAATATAAAGACTATGTAACTACTTCCACCAATGGAGGTAGGTGTGGGACATCATAATGATTAGATTTGCTTCCTATGTTGTGGTTATCATAAACAGAGAACTCTATAAGATGGGCCCGCCTAAACAAAATGGAAACACGACACTACACTGATCGAACCAAGTGACCTGCGGAAAGGTTGAATGAGGTCAAAGGTCAGGGCAAACACACCCTCTCTTTTCACTTGTGTCAACAAATACATCTTCCGCATCCCTTTTCATTATTAGAGAAAACATGCATCAATGGGCTTGTTCAGACAAAGCTGACTGAGGACCAAAGACAGGACTAACTTGTATCAGCAGATGGATCTGGTAAACAAACCACAAATTTAGAAATCTCATGCACAACAGGATCATTCCATCTACAGTCTTTCAAAAAATACCAAACTGGGTCTCAGACATCCAAATACATGGTTTATCAATTCAGCAAAACTGTTGATGCATGTTTATCTCATTTACGGTCTTTACTTGTCCTTGTCTGAACAGGCTGTGATTTCTGGGTCATGCAGCCACCTGCTCTGAAATCTGTTTTATCACAAAGTGAAAATGAACCTTTTTAAGGGCAATTTGGCTTTGGTCCACTGCAGCCATGGGAAAGAATTAAAACCAGTGAGATTTGTGGAAAACAATTATGTAAAAATACATTTGCAATGCAAGCAAAACTTTTTTCAAATTAAATCAACTAACTTTTGGTCTACTATATACAGTCATACAAAAAATCATAAATTTGTGAGCTTCCCAGGCACTTTCTTTGTACAGTGCTCAGTGATTCATTTAATCAGAAAACAGCTGCTATAGTAGCATGATTGTGTCTGCTGATGAATATTTTGAAAAACGAATTTTTTTCTTACTCTCAACAATGTATATTAATCCCCCTGGATATTATAATACATTATAACTAGCCTGTACATTTCTAGACCATAATCAACTCAAATACAGTACACCACGGCACATATATACTTGTAGTAATACAGTACACTAGACTACTAGTGACACATTATATAACATGTTTAGAGCATAACTGTGACACAGTCTAGGGCATCAATATGGTCAGTTTATTTACAGTGTACATAATGTCCTTAATTGTATTCTATGTAATGTTTGATATTATACAGTATAGGTAGATCACAATCCGCTAGGGGCGCTACAGTCGTAACTGTCCACGGGCAGTGAAGTGTTAAACTGAAGTCGGCCTGCTGACAGTTCGCCTATGGAACCCCTTTTTTAAATCTCTCTTTTAGCGCTGCGTAAAAAAACTAATACAAGCCATTAACTAAATAAGTTGTAAATCAAAGAGTAAAATCCGGTCACATGATTTTCCCATGTTGCAGTCTTTGACAAGTTTCGGTTCTGCTTGTTTTAAGTTTTGCCTCTACAAAATGCTAAAAAATTTCAGGTAAGTGCTGGTATCATCTTTTTGAAATTTATATCCAGCAAAGTTTATGAAATTTGCTATATTATGTAGAAAAATCATGAAATTTGAAGGTTGCGAAGTATAGTTAATTTAATCCGCAATATTACATGATGTGAAAATTACCACAGGGAAATAGCTCTGCCCTGATTAGTCACAGGCTATGTGAGCCAGACAATAGGCTGAGCACACAAAGACACACAGGGTGCTCTGCTGCGCCTGAGTGATCACTGCTGGTCAGTGGGCACAGGTTTTGAGCTGAGAAGTGTGGACACTTTTGGTGGATTTTTGCAGTTAAAAAACTTCAATATCTTTGTTGCTTGTAGGAATATTTAAAAAATTCCAAATGATTTCATCCGGTTTTTGCATTACCTTTCAGATGATATAAGTATTTTAATTTTCTGATCAGTTTGAAAATTTTTCTGATATACCTATACAGTATGTAGATGTATAAATTTATTTAAATGTGATTTATCAAGAAAAATAATACTCCTTGTCATATATATATTTGGCAGAATCAGGTACGTTCCACTGTTCCCTGAAATATATATATATATATACTCACAATAAAGATGTTGGTCACACCTAAGTTCCTTGTGCTGAAATCTACACAAGGACCTGAAAATGAAAACAATAGCGGAAGTGATTAATTTAGTAAGTTGATAGGCATTATTAGCGAACAATTTTACCACTTAAAGGTTCAACGTAAGTGCTTATTCAGATTACATGTGTAGAATTATCATTCTGTGTAAGCTGTTCAAAAGTAAATTATAAATACCCTTGAAGGCGGAACGTTGATTTGTTCAGCTGTTCTCCGCTTCCGCAACGTTAGGAACGAACCACGCGGGGTTTCATTTTTGCCCTCTGTCGGGCTTAATTTCCAAGATGAGCTTTTCTGTCAAAACTATAGATACAAATGACATTCAACAACATTCAATATTTAAGCCTTTTAAAATTAATTATACCACGTATTAAGCCTTTTTATAATGAAATCTTAAGAATAATCATTTTTCGTCGTGGTGCTTTGTAAATAATGATACGAAACTAAACCCTAGTGACTCACTCGGTTTTACTTGTTAGTCAGAATTAGGTCAAAACTTCCGGGGTAGAAACACTCAGGTCACAATGGTGCTCATAGACGAGGTAAGTTTTGACAAGTTTTTGTTGGCAAAAAGTGTTTTATATTTTCGTAATGTACTCGATTTAACTTTTCGACGTTCCTCATGTGTGTTTAGTTAAAATTAAGACTTCAAATTAGTCAAATTAGTGAAAATCGCAGTTTAAAGCGTGGAAGATTCTAGGTGTGTCTAAATTTGGAAGTGCATGCAGATTTCCGAGAGTCAGGTTTCACGCCTCTGAACATGTGCTCCCAAGAACAAATACTCTGAGTTTAAATATGATCTATATGATAAGACAATCGTCTTTGTTCATAATTTTCACTGATTGATATCTACTTGTATTAATGTGGAGTTATTTATTAGATGCATTGCTTAGTTGATATGGTTTGTTTAGTTGAATGATATAAAAGGAATACAGCAAAACAAACACTAAGAGAATATAAATACTGATATATTAAAGTATGATTTTATGTTTATGCAAGTTGGTTGCACCCTCTAGGAACATATTTACCTTTTTAGTCACAAATTGACAATAAACTTCAAGTTTTAGGGATTGTTTTTAATGCACATGTATGTTTCTCTCTTCTCTTGGGGGAGGGGGGGGTAGAAACAGGGGCATGGAGAGAAATCAAAATAGATATGCATAGAACTTCGAAGTTTGATCATTTTTCAGGTACCAGATTTTGTCACATTAAAAGAAGAAGGCAACAAATATTTTACATCAGGACAATATGATGCAGCTATCTCTACCTACACAAAAGCATTAGAGGTAAATAGTTATTACTGATCTTTGGTTCTCATAGCTACATTCACAACAGTGAACTAACAGATCCTCGGATCAATTATGGCTCCCGTGAATGCGTAATTACCTGTGTAATCACCAGCTTTTCTGTATTTAGCTCAACAGTAGAAGGAAACAAATTGTAAATTGACCTGATACAGAACTTGATTATTTCCTTGCATTGAACACTAGTAAACTTGGTCATCAGTATCTCATAAACAATAAAGATATCTCACATTTTGGAATAGAAAAGCTATAATTTCAATTAAAAATGTGTTCAACCTTAGAAACTTTGTGGTAAGTACTTATTTTTCTTTTAAGGAATCGGATGCTAAACCCCAGGACAAAGGCGTGTTGTACAAGAACAGAGCTGCATGCTATCTCAAACTGGAGAAGTACGAAGAGGCATGTGCAGATGCTACCCAAGGTATTTTACTAAAGCTTCTTATGTACATTATAAAAAAATAAGTTTTTATTAGTGCGGGCACAATGTTTACATAGGCCATGCTATATAACTACTGATATGATTTTTACAAACCAGAAATAAGTGTGAGAACATTAATTTACATATTATTTACACATACATCTCTATTCTATTTCTGCCATGGAGATTGTCCCAAATGAGAAAATATCATCTTTTTCAGTCTTGGAAATAAATCTCTGTAGAGATAATATCTGGTATTTTCTAGCCTTTGAAAAAAAATCTGCAGTAAGAGAATCTCTGGTTGTTTTTCAGCCTTGGAGATAATCCCTAATAAAATAATGTATGGTTATTTTTTCAGCCTTGGAGATCATCCCTAATGACCCCAAGGCTCTGTTCAGAAGGTGTCAGTGCTATGAAAACCTGGGCAAGATTGAGGATGCTTACAAGGACGCCAAACAGCTGCTGTATGTGGAGCCTAAGAACAAAGCCATCCAGCCTGTCTTGAGGAAACTGAATGCTCTTCTGCAGGATAAGGTAAAATTAGTTCTACAGATTAGAAAAAAAGATTATTCTTGACTCAGAGATAAAATAATAAGACTCATACAAAACGTTGGACCTTTATAACATGAATGTTGAATTTCCAACTGAATGTGATACCTGGGAAACCATCCTTTCTTGATATTTAGTCATAGTGTAGAAAATCTTTCTGTATCTTATGAAAGAACTTCTTCAAAATAGCTTCTCCCCCCCGCCCCCCCCCCCCCCACTCGAAATAGATAAAATAAAATTAAAGTTAACCTGATGCTAAATGGTCATTTATGTCAGGTTGAGAATTGTAGTGAAAACTATAAATGCAATCAAGATGAGAATAGAGGGGGGGACACTTTATACATGTAGGTGATGAGTGATGTAATTGAACATGTACAGATGGTGCAGTATGTTGTTTCAGCTCAAGGAACAGAACAGCACTGACAACAAGGTGACACAGATGTTCAAGCTGGCGTTTGGTGAGGGTGATGACAAGGAGAAGAGAGAACAGGTGTGTGGTAGAAGATAGAGCTGTTAGGTCATTCCTAAGTATATTGTAATATCCCTCCCCATGGTAATCCTGTGGGATATAGCATGCTGTGTGTCCTTCTTGCTATCTACACTGAACTGTGCACTTAAGTTTATGCTGAAAAATTAAATAAGTAAAAAAGGAAAAGGAAGAGAGAAAGGAAAAAAGCATATGGGTAATGTAATTAATTATAATTTAAAGTCATGCATATTTATTTCATAAAATTGTACGTGTACATGTATTTATCCTCCAGGCCATCAATAACCTTATTGTCCTGGCGAGGGAGGAGGCTGGCGCGGGGAGGATCATGCAGTCAGGGGCTGTGACTAACCTGAACAAACTCCTGGACAGCACCAACCCTGTCATTGTGGTGGGGTCACTCAGACTTCTGGCTTGTCTGGCTAAGGAGAACAGAAAGAGGGTAAGAACTGGTGTGGTTCTACAGAAAAAGAAACTAAAGTGAGGCTCCCTGGCTAAGAACTTAAGGCTTCATTCACATGGAATGTCTATTTTCTAAAAATCTATTTTCTATTCGCGCTATCTTATGATCACGGTCTGTGCCCTGAATATCCCGCCGCGTAATTACTGGCACAGGAGCCAGTTACTTATAGTAACTTATAGTAACTGGCTCGCGCTGCCAGTAATTATGCTGCGGGATATTCAGGGCACAGACCGTGATCATAAGACATACCGCGAATAGAAAATAGAATTTAGAAAATAGACATTGCGTGTGAATGAAGCCTAATACCAAAGTAACTTGGTCACTTCTTACCCTATCAGCAGGAGTGTAAATCGTAGTCAACTAAGCCAGGGAACTGACTTAAGTTTTTTTTTTAATTGTTAATATTATTATTATTATTTATTTTTTTTTTTTTTTGTGAAACAGGCCTGGCACAGTTTCAGTCCATAACTCACAGGTTGGTCCTACTGTCTGACATTTTATATATCTGATGGCTCAAAACAAGTAATTAGCAATTTTTATGCCCTCCTTCAGTCACAGATTAACAATGTATAAATAACAGTTTATAGATAAAAGTTTATATATACCAGTTTAAACAAGGGGAATTTCTTTTCTTTCTTCATATATTTTTATTCAGATATTGTTTTTTTTCTCAACATTTCAGGCCTGTGCAATCCAAGATGAGATCAGCACCAATCGGCTGTTTTCGCTAATGGGCATTGATAACTCAGACATTTCATCTGCCGTTGGACACCTCGTTTCCACACTCATCACCGCCATTACTGAACTGGAGAAATTCAAGGCTTCCAGACAAAGACATGAAGATTTGGTAAAGAAGGAGGGTCCACAGGGCAAGGGAAGACATCCTCCTTTGACACTAGGTAGACATGTTTTGTGGAAGGCACAAACTTTTTCTGTGAAATTTTTTATGCTCCACTTTTAAACTTTTGTTGGAAAATGTTTGCATTAACTCTTGATTTTTTTCAGGCATTTTACCAAGTTTTCCATATTCCTGTGTATATCAAAAATGACATTTTTTTCAGTACCAAAAATAATTAATTTTGTTAAAAAAAAATTATTAATACAAACTTTTAAATTTTGCAGTAGTTTTTTAAACTGCAGTACTCAATTCAAATTTATGTCACAATTTGATTTCTAATTTCTTTGATTTTTTCTATGATTATAGAGGAGGAATATGCCAACCGTTCCGATGCTCTAATGCACTGTGCCATCAAAAATATTAACAATGGGAAATTTTCTGCCTGTGGAAGAGACTCTGTTCTGGAACTTCTGATCAAATTTGTCACCAGGCAAGATGGGATAGATTGGGGAATAAAATTTCTAGAAACAGATGGTAAGTTTCTGAAAATGTTCAATTTAATAGTCCGTAAGATATGTTTATTTATATGTTGGAGTAAGCAGCCATAGTAATTTTTTATCAGTTTTTGCAGTTGGCAAACAGTGAATCATTTTTAAGTCATAAAAAAGTAATTACTCGTTTCTGAAAAATTAAACAAAAGTTAGAAGAAAGCCATTTTATGAAACTGTATGGTGAGACTTTATAAGAACAATTTGAGCAAAATATATAATAAAGTTTCTCCCTGAAATGCCAGGAAACCACAATGTAGTAGAATGTAGTCTGAGATCACAGATGATTAAGAGTTTATTTGGAAAAATGTTTTTATTCAGAAAACAAAAATTCTCCCCGGAATTCCAAGAAACACCATGACTCTGAAAACATGACGATTGAGCGCATTCAGAACAGCGAACTAACAGATCCGCAGATCAAATATGGCGACCTTCTAAAACAGTTGCTGCTTTATTCAGGATTAGACACTGAATAGATTTCCTTAGCCGAATCGGGGATTTTGCAACAAGCATTCAAGTGGGTTGGCCATATTTGATCCGTAGATCTGTTTGTCCCCAGTTCTGAACGAGGCCATTCTCAACAATTTATGGCATATATAAATATTTTTCTCCCGCCATTCCAGGCATTACCAGGATTCTAGAAGTTGCCGGCACCATACCAGCTCTAAGCTACACCGTGATGAAGATTTCAGAGAATACCAGGATGAACTGCTCCGTGCTGCTGTCAAAGATTTACGATGAGTTTATCAGCGACAAGAGAAGGGACCAGTACAGAGAACAAGTGTCACAGTATTTCTCGTAAGTGCTTGACAGTTGATTTTTTCCAGTTTTTGAAATAATTCTTTTTCACTTACAGTATACTGTATTTATGTGAACAAAATGTTTGTGAAACTTTCTTATACCAAAGTTTGCTCTAATTACCTATTTTTTTTTCTAAGACATGTAACTTCCCTTTGTTCAGACTTTTGGCAAATGCAGATGATCCCTATTAATACTGCAACATATCTAATATATTTTCATGTATCAGTCTTTGTTACACATTTAAAATATTTTCATGTTTTAGTGACCAGTTTGGAGACACCAGACACATCGACTACCAAATGGAGGCTATAACCGCCATATCTGCCTTGCTTCAGGGTCCGTACGACATCGGCAACACAATCCTGGGGACGCAGGGAGTTTTGGAGATCATGCTGGCACTGGCGAACTCTCCTGATCCCCTTCATCAGGTATAGAGATTGTAGGAATACTTGGTTCTATAACTTAATTTTTTTTTTCCAAAAACTTGTGTTAGGTTATTAAATAGATACATTAAACAAAAACAGTACTATAACTTAAAGATTGTTATATTGCAATATGAAGAAAATGCCATGTTATATTGCAATATGAAGAAAATGATATATTTAATTAGACACTGATTTGAATTCTTTCAGAAAATTTCAGTGGAAGCTTTGGTCCATGCCACATCAAAGAAAGACAAATGCAGTGGCATCGTGAAGCAGGCAGTCCCAATCTTGAAGAAACTCTACCAGTCTGAAAATGACAATATAAAAGTCAGAGCTCTAGTGGTAAGAACAGCCTCCCTGCCTGCCCCCTCTCCCTCTCTCTCTCATTCTGTTTATGTGAACACTTGGAAAATTTTAAATAATCAAACTTATTAATATCATCTGAAGTGGATTTAAGCAAATATACATCCTAACAACAAATTCCTTTTAAAACTACACTAAACAGACTATTGATAAAATGCCAGGCTGGGGATTTGTTTTCTTTGCTTATTTCAAAAGTTCTCTTTATTTATGCTTTTTAATTTATTTTAAATTAACTTTTACCCTTCACCAGGGACTGTGCAAGCTTGGGTCATTTGGAGGCACAGATGCCAGTGCTAAATCTCTAGCTGAGGGCTCCACCCAGGCACTGGCCAAAGCCTGCAGGAAGTAAGAGGGTTTTTTATTGTGTGTGTGTCTGTGTGTGTGTGTGTCTGTGTAAATTTTGTTGCTTACAAAAGTTTAAATAAAGTTTTCTGCCCAAATATACAAAAAAAAAGGCTACATTTTAATTGGCAGATTTCATTGGATGATAAAATGGAATTGGACAGGTAAAAATGGAGTTTTTTTTTTTTTAATTTTTATATGCATATTTGTACATAGTTTACACACTGTATCAAACAGCTGAAGACTGCTTCTGGTTTCTAGTTTGACTTAACCAGTGCAAAAAATTTCAATAAGTATTTTTTTTTCTCACAGGATGAATGTCGCAAAGCTGAAATCAGCTGTCAGAATGATTTAAATATTGTATAGTGTAACTATTAAGGATATAGACTTATGTATGATGATGATTATTATGAATTATTCTAAAATTACATCCTAAAAGTAAGGAATATAAAAGAACAATTGTGTGTGGTTTAGGTTCCTGAACAACCCAATGAAGGATGTAGACCTGAGGAAGTGGGCATGTGAGGGTCTGGCCTTCCTTACACTAGACGCAGATGTCAAACAGGACCTGGTAGAGGACACGGCAGCTCTTCAGTCTCTCATAGATCTGGCCAAGGTACGGTTAGTCTTGCTTAGCGCCCCCCCCCCTCTCTCTCTCTCTCTCTCTCTCTCTCTCTCTCTCTCTCTCAATTTTTTATTAAATTATTTATTTAAACATGTTCATCTGCTGAAAAGCAATTTTTATGCTGAAAAATTATACGTATGGAGTTTGGGCTGTTGTGGTTACATGCTTGCTTATCAAATGGCAGTGGAATAAAATTAATAAGAAAGAAAATGAAGTTTTATAAGATTCTGCTGCAGAAATTACCTCAGTTTGCTTAATGAAAAAAATTTTGATAATCTGCTTGGCTGTACTGCAGGCAAAAATAGAGCTTTTGAACAACTTGAGTAGTAAATTACTTGCAGAATGCTGTCATCAGATCATCCACTCACATCCTTTATAACATCAAAGTAACATTTAGTTAACCAATCATGTAACTTCTTTTAAGTCACTCAGTAAAATATCCACCAATCAGATAATTTCTTATGTCACTCTCTCAGCATAAACAACCAATCCCATTCTTTGTTATAGGTCAGTGATAAGTCAGTGCTGTATCCTGCAGCCACAGTGTTTGTAAACCTGACCAATAGCTATGAGAAGAAAGAAATCATCCCAGAGTTACTGGAGCTGGCAAAGTACGCCAAACATCACATACCTGAGGAACATGCCAAGGTCAGTGGATGGCTTTTATGTTACAATTTGCTTATTTTGAATATTAAATATATTGTATACTGGAAAAAATAAATAGAAATAAGAATTTCACAAGCATGTTACTGTCAGTATCATGTCCAAAAATTCAAACATATTTTTGCCAGTTTTTTAATTAGCATTAATAAATGCTACTGTCATTGACATACAGAAAATCGGAGATTTTGTCCAGTGAATTAGTAGTTTTTGCAATCAATTTAGTCAGTAAATATAAACTATACAAAATATAGAACACCAAATTTTCTGAACGTCAATACTAATACTGTTAGTATCATCCTTATTTCCTTACTTATTTAGGACAAACCAGAGTTTGTGAAGGAAAGAATTGCCAAGCTGGTCAAGGCTGGGATGGTGAATGCCTTGGTGGCTTTCTCTAAGACAGACAGCCATAGCAGTAGAGAGCTGCTCAGTAGGTGAGTCAATGAGATATAGGCTACATTCACAACTAGTTGATCAGCAAAATAACAGAACTGCAGATCAAATATGGCCATCCCACATGCACCGACTATGTTATGCGTGTTGCATTTTGGTCTAGAAATATGCACTGCTATTTCCCGTCAGGCAGTTGCAGCTTTCGAGGCTTCCAGAAGAAGGCATGCACACATGATCAGGGGAATTGGGTTAACTGTGCATGCCAATCATTAGAGTGGAAAGGTGAATATTGGAGTGAAGAATTGCTCAGTAGGTTGATGGACTTCGTTGAAGCACAAATGGTCAGCCAAAATGGCAAGCAGTCAGTAGGAAGTTTTTATGTGGATCAATGTTGATATCGCAGTAGTAACAGATTCTTCAAAAGTATTTCACTGATTATAAAATTATTTCAAACTGCCGTACAAAACTGAATTACCTGTTATTAATTCAGAGTTTTCCTGGCTGTGGTTGAGGAGACAGAATACAGAGGACTGGTTGTTCAGCAAGGAGGAGCCAAGGTAAGACAGGACATATGATTGGCTTAGGACTGTTTTCTAGGTGGAGCAAAGAGAGGATAAGACATTTGATTGGTTGAAGTCGTGAAGTTTGCCAAACTTAGCCAAGGCTTTTGATTGGCTGATACTGTTGTTTGCAAGAGTAGCTATTGTATCGCAACCTAGAATTTTGTTTTGTGTATAGTTCTTTAAGAAATTTATCTTTACCAAATAGCTGCCTCTCCAGAAAAAAGGGACAGGGAATACTTTCATTGCCATACCTATTTGTTTTATTGAATCTGTTTGTTTTTGTTTTGATTATTTTATCTATGTTCAAAACTACACCCATATTGCTGTATTTTCCAGGCACTTATTCCTCTGGCCAATGAGGGTACAGATGTTGGGAAGACCTGCGCAGCCCAAGCACTGGCCAAGATAGCCATTGTGATGAACCCAGAAGTTGCCTTCCCAGGACAGAGGGTATGAAATTTGTGAAAAATACACTTGTCCAAAAAAGTTCAGAAACAGCATTATTTTGAATAATTATAAGATAACCATGTAAAATACTATGTTTAAATAATAAAATATTGTCTGTGTTCATACTCAGTAATTTAAGCACATTGTTTCTCTCTTCAGTGTCTAGAGGTGGTACGCCCTATACTACAGCTGGTCCACGTTGAGAAAACTGCTCTTCAGAACTTTGAGGCACTTTTAGCCCTCACGAACTTAGCGTCTCTTAACGACTCCGTCAGGTTAGTGATGTCTTTGTCTCTATCACACACACACAGATTCTCTCTCTCTCTCTCTCTCTCTCNAATATGGTCAACCCACTTAAATGCTTGTTGTGTAATCCCCGCGGGGAATCTATTCAGTTTCTAATCAGGAATTGAGCATCAAGCATTTTAGTGGGTGACCATATTTGATCTGCAAGGTCTGTTAATCCACTGCTCTGAATGTGCTTTTAGTAAACCAGTCATGTAACTTCTTTCAAGTCACTCAGTAAAATATCCACCAACCAGATCATTTCTAACATAACACCCTCAGCTTAAACAACCAATCCCATTCCTTGTTACAGGTCAGTGATAAGTCAGTGTTGTATCCTGCAGCCACAGTGTTTGTAAACCTGACCAATAGCTATGAGAAGAAAGAAATCATCCCAGAGCTACTGGAGCTGGCAAAGTACGCCAAACATCACATACCTGAGGAACATGCCAAGGTCAGTGGATGGCTTTTATGTTACAATTAGCTCATTAAAATATTAATATATTGTATACTGGAAAAAATAAATAGAAATAACATTTGCAAAGCTGCACAAGCCTGTTACTGTCAGTATCATGTCCAAAAATTTAAACATATTTTTGCCAGTTTTTTTAATCAGCATTAATAAATGCTACTGTCATTGACATACTGAAAATCATAGATTTTGTCCAGTGAATTTGTAGTTTTTGCAATCAATTTAGTCAGTAAATATAAACTATACAAAATATAGAACACCAAATTTTCTGAACGTCAATACTAATACTGTTAGTATCATCCTTATTTTATTACTTATTTAGGACAAACCAGAGTTTGTGAAGGAAAGAATTGCCAAGCTGGTCAAGGCTGGGATGGTGAATGCCTTGGTGGCTTTCTCTAAGACAGACAGCCATAGCAGTAGAGAGCTGCTCAGTAGGTGAGTCAATGAGATATAGGCTACATTCACAACTAGTTGATCAGCAAAATAACAGAACTGCAGATCAAATATGGCCATCCCACATGCACCGACTATGTTATGCGTGTTGCATTTTGGTCTAGAAATATGCACTGCTATTTCCCGTCAGGCAGTTGCAGCTTTCGAGGCTTCCAGAAGAAGGCATGCACACATGATCAGGGGAATTGGGTTAACTGTGCATGCCAATCATTAGAGTGGAAAGGTGAATATTGGAGTGAAGAATTGCTCAGTAGGTTGATGAACTTCGTTGATAAACACATATTGTCAGCCAAAATGTCAAGCAGTCAGTAGGAAGTTTTTGTGTAGATCAATGTTGATATTGCAGATTCTTCAAAAGTATTTCAGGGATTATGAAATTATTTCCAATTGCCGTACAAAACTGAATTACCTGTTATTAATTCAGAGTTTTCCTGGCTGTGGTTGAGGAGACAGAATACAGAGGACTGGTTGTTCAGCAAGGAGGAGCTAAGGTAAGACAGGACATATGATTGGCTTAGGACTGTTTGCCAGGTGAAGCAAAGAGAGGATAAGACCTTTGGTTGTTTGATTTCGTGAAGTTTGCCGAATTTAGCCAAGGCTTTTGATTGGCTGATACTGTTGTTTGCAAGAGTAGCTATTGTATCGCAACCTAGAATTTTGTTTTGTGTATAGCTCTTTTAGAAATTTATCTTTACCAAATAGCTGCCTCTCCAGAAAAAAGGGACAGGGAATACTTTCATTGCCATACCTATTTGTTTTATTGAATCTGTTTGTTTTTGTTTTGATTATTTTATCTATGTTCAAAACTACACCCATATTGCTGTATTTTCCAGGCACTTATTCCTCTGGCCAATGAGGGTACAGATGTTGGGAAGACCTGCGCAGCCCAAGCACTGGCCAAGATAGCCATTGTGATGAACCCAGAAGTTGCCTTCCCAGGACAGAGGGTATGAAATTTGTGAAAAATACACTTGTCCAAAAAAGTTCAGAAACAGCATTATTTTGAATAATTATAAGATAACCATGTAAAATACTATGTTTAAATAATAAAATATTGTCTGTGTTCATACTCAGTAATTTAAGCACGTTGTTTCTCTCTTCAGTGTCTAGAGGTGGTACGCCCTATACTACAGCTGGTCCACGTTGAGAAAACTGCTCTTCAGAACTTTGAGGCACTTTTAGCCCTCACAAACTTAGCGTCTCTTAACGACTCCGTCAGGTTAGTGATGTCTTTGTCTCTATCACACACACACAGATTCTCTCTCTCTCTCTCTCTCTCTCTCTCACTCTCACTCTCTCTCTCTCTCTCTCTATGAGTAAAAAGAAATATAAAGCACCTTGAAATCTGCTCTGTCATGATTTTTTTTTCGAGATAATGAATTTTACCTATTGAATATATTTTTCCACAAAATTAAAGCTCTATTGCTTGTTATATTATGATGGTTCTCTGTGATCTGTATTGTGTTTAATGTGTAACAGTATTTAATTCATATTCTAATATATTCATTTTACAGGAGAAGAATCCTAAAAGAAGGTGGTTTTCCCTCCATAGAGTTTTATATTTATGAAGACCACGAGTTGTTACGCCGTGCCTCAGCGGAGTGTTTGTGTAACCTCGTAATGAGTGAGGAGGTAAAAAGTCCATATTTTATCTATTAAGAAGAGGTTGATATCTCTTACATGGCACTCAGGAAATCTGTTTTCTACTGAAGTCAAATTGTTCTTCCCCTGAGGTGTTTGAATTGCTACTAATTTGATATTTACACTCATTTTTGTCGCGGTTTATCTTGTTCTCTGTATGTTTGAAATATTGAATTTTTTTTGTTAGTTACTAGTTGCATTTCAGACATTTCCCAGTGATTTTGAAGGGGAATTTATTTGATAAAATTGCAGGTTGCCAAAATGTACATGGGAGAGAACGACAAGGTGAAGTTACTGGTGCTGTACTGCGCCTCAGACGAGTTGCAGGAGGACGTGGCTTTGATCCAGGCTTGTCTTGGCACACTGGCCATACTGTCCAGCAGAAAAGTGATCTGTGAGAAAATAATGAAAGTAAGTAAAAGGTTTGAGTTTTTAATGAAGTGCTGTTTTTAGCTGCAGCGCAGCCAAGCAGTTGTAGATTTAATATTGTTCAAATATTTTGCAAACTGAGGCCACTTTTTTGCCACAGGTTTTATTAGGGTTGTAGAGCTTTCTTTAGGGCCTCTGTCTGACTGCATTCTCAAAACAGATTTATGTGAAAAAATTAATGTATGTGGAGAAAATGAAAACTTACTCGGATGATGAGCATGTTGACTTGAGTAAGAACTCTCCAACAAGGCAGAAATTTCTGAGAAAAGAAAAGAAAATAAAGTGAGCAAATGGATTCAATGCCTTGATGCAGAGACTATGCAATATTTATCTGTTTATCATTAAATATGACCTTATCTTCAGTTGGTAGTACATTTTACTGGAATATTTCCATTTTCATTTGGCTATTGTTTTCCTTCACAGGTTAAGGACTGGTCAGATGTTCTAGGTGGCATTGCAGCTCAAGACAATCTAGAGCTGAAGCACAGGGCACTCCATATAATCATGAACATGATTGAAAGTGGGAAAGACATTGCTGAAAAGGTCAGTAGCAGTATTTTTTTGTGAGGGGCAGTAGAAAAAGTCTCAGGAAATGCCACTTAAAAAAAGTCCACATGGGTAAAGGAGGAAATGTGGACTTATTCCTAAACAGTTTTTAGGAAATTAACTGTATTTCTAAGACAACATGGTTAACTTGTATCTCAACTTTCATCCAATTAGACCCAGACCTATCTATTTTCTCATCATACTTATTTGAACTTGACCTGAGCACATTTACTTGGCTCTAATTTGACCTTGACCTAATGAAATATTCATGACCTTTCATTAACCTTGACCTTTGTAGGTTGTGCAAACCAAGCTGCTGGAGGTGCTACTAGTGTTGGAGCAAACAGTTGGAAGTCCAACAAAAGAGAACGAAAAGATCCATCACTGCATAAGGACTTCTTTAGACAGACTCATAGAGTACAAGCTGATTCAGCCAACACAATAAGCAACAGAAAATCTTTGATATTCCGAGTCAGAAGGATGGTGCTTTAATCTTTACACTCTGATCTTGTGGAATGTTGAATTCATGGAACAGAGGAAAAAAAAATTGAGGTCAAAGGTTCAAGGAGAGATAATTACAGTGCATTTGGTCAACAAAAGAGGCCGTTATTTATCAGATTTTATCCCGGTTCCTGATATAGAAATCAGTGATCAGATTTTATTGAGATTTCTGTTCAACCTGAAAAGTGGTAGTGGTGTATGGAAAACACTTCTCTGGGTGCTAGAGGACAAGGGCTGAGGTCAAAATTGAAGGTCAAAGATGGAGATCAAAGTTCAACATCGAACAAAGTATGGAATTAAACATGCTGTAAAGTAGCAATACCAGAAAGTTCTGAATTGGCTTATGTTCATTACCTGTTGCACTTAGTTTTCACAAAGAGAGAATGGCACCATATGATGTTAAAATTCTTAGTGGACAATATATGAAAACATCAGAAGAAGGATGCACTAGAATTATATGAAGAGCAGAAATCTCTAGTTGCCTGTTTTTCATGATATATTTAGGCAACTGGGGTATTGCTTGTATTGATATGTTTTCTGCATAAGGAATTGTTTATATTATATATTAATTTGTTTATTTATTTTATTTATTATTTTTAGAAGCATCTATTGCTTTAGGACAGTTTACTCACTGTCAGACTGACCTGTTTTGATTATTTAACTTTCTAAGATATTTTCAATGGTTTCTCTGTGATTTTGGCATGAATTTCATAGAAATCATATTGGAAATATGAGCATATTGTAACACATACAACAGCATTGTAGTGTAATATCTGAAGTAAGAACAATTTTTAGACATTGGGAAATAGTAAAGGTATTATCCCTACTGTGCAATCTTTGAGTCTCTAATATTTTTATTGGTTCCATGTAAAGCACTACAGAACGTAAAATCAACATTATTTATTTATTTATTTGTTTATTATTTTATTATTTATTATTATTATTTTATTATTATTATAATTATTATTATTATTATTTATTTTATTTTTTATTTTTTTGAAAAAGGAGAAAGTGCAAGGTTAAGTACTTGAATTTCAAACGAAAGTCATAATATTTATTTATCCTCATTGAATGCAGTGAATCCATCCCGCCTTGAGTGTAGACTAGGAACTCTAGTTGATAGAAATCATGTGTATATAAACCATTGTTTTTACTTACCAATATAAACTATGCTGGATTGTTAAAGTTATGTGTTGTCTTCTTTTGTTCTCTTTGGGCCTGGAAAGCAATCTCGTTTTGTGTTTTATATATTCTTAGCGAAAGATTACTGGGTTGGTTTTTTTTTTTTTTTTTTCTTTTTTTTTTTCAAACCGAAGTTGACAATAGCCTTTACGGCTTGAAATGGAAAATGTTAATGCGAAGTCCTAACAGCTTCACTATATGAAGGTTGAAATTACGTCATAAAGGTCGTACCAGAGTGTTTTTGCACTTTCCATACCGTCACCATGTGTGTGTAGGGGGGGGGGGGTACGAAAGTAGGGCTCGAGTTCAGCTATAAAAATTACATAAATGTATTTTTATACGCAGCTGATAATATTCAATAGCCAAAATATCCTGCAAAGTTACTCATCCTTGCAATTAAGACCTTAAAAACTATAAAAGTCTCTCAAATAAAAGAGTCAGATCCTCTTTTTTATTTTGAAATGAAAGGAAGGCTTGGCGATCTTAATGAATTGTCATGATTCGTTTCTAAGTGGGGTTTTTAATTAGAAATGGTTAAAAACATAGCATTCAAGTGCAGAGAATGTTCGTGATCAGGAGATAAATAAGGCAATACCATTATTTGTTCACCGTCTGCTGTGAGGGTCATTTTAGAAGAGGGTGAAAATTCAAGTCACGTAGTGACCCAAGCATTTTCCGTTGTATTAACATATCTGTTGTATTTAATTTTTTTAACAACTGATGAGGAAGGCATGAGCGGATCCAGGATTATTTGAATGGGGGGGGGGGGGGTCCGTGGATGCAGTAGGCAAAGAACATTTTCCGATATATCATTTTCGGGAAAAGGTGTTAAAATGGCCATGTTATCGTTGTCTCCTTTGGAAATCATACAAAACTGAAACTCCATATACTAATTGAAAATAAGTCTTTCAACGAACCTCTGTCTTTTAAGGCCTACATAATATTTAGAAAAAATGGTATCAAAGTAAAAAAATCATGTGTGACCAAGAAAACTTCGATCGAGATGACAATGTTAGCGACCAGTTATATAGAAAAGATCCGTTTGCCCTGTCCATATTAAACTATTTCTACTGATTGGCTTTATTATATGAAATACTGTGGATCTTGGGTTTAAGATATATACAGAGTCATAAGAACGCTTTATTCGATTATGATTTTTAAAAGTAGTTTTTATATTAAAGAAGTATATTTTAACAACAAGTGGACTTCAGTTGTATCAAAAATGTACTGTTAATATTTTCATAGTGAACATTTGTGAGCAGTTTTAGCCAAAACCTCTCACCCAAAATGGACCAACTCTGTTGTAATTTGCATAACAATAAGTTGCCCGTCGTAGTGCGAGCTGAATACTCACTCTGCAGTTGGGCACAGTTGAGTAAAGACGCAACATTATGTGTGGTGAATTCACAAGTTTCAGCTTTTATAAGATGTAGAAGCAAGTATATGGTAAGTAGCACTACTTCTTCAATAACCTCCCTCAATAAAACACAAGTGCAACCGAATGAGAGGAAATTTATTGTGGATATTAATAGCGCGATTTGTTGTAATATTATGTCAATCGTTACTTGTATGTCACTCAAAATGTCAGAATATGTTGGTTACAATGGTCTGGGACTACAAACGTACGGGAGAAATGGTGCTATCAGCTGACCATTGATGATACAATACGTTTGCTTGAAATCTTTCAAACTAGCTATATTTAGTTCTGCACGTTTCACCTGGGGAAAATTAGCAATTACATGTATCAAAATACATCATTTTATCATTATTATTATTACTACAAGAACAAGGGTCCACATAGCTATTAAAGTTCTCTTACTTGTTTCAGATTACACAAATCTTTTTGTGAGGTAAGTGTTTTTAATATAATACAACACACGTTTACGCACATGTCAATTGCTCATACAGTGATGGTTTACAGATGAAAGTTTTACGCAGGTTGACCACCGGCCGTCGCCATTGTGTCGTATTCTGTCCCCCCC